GACTCTTTCAAGATACGCCACAGGCCGGGGAAGACACTGCAGCATGTGGACGGGCTCTCGAGGAACCCGCCAGCAGCAGAGCCAGTGCACGCGCTGATGCTGCTCGCTAGGCAAGGGGAGGAGGCAGCAGCAGAAAAACAAGGAAAGAGGGGTCCACAGGATATATGGAAGGATCCCACGGCCCTGCGGTGGATTAAAGGGGAAACAGAGGAGAACGAACAGGTGACAGACAGGGTGAGAGCACGAGGGCACCACTACCGATGGTACCAGGGACAGTTGCAGCTGCAGTCAGTGGATGGGTGGAAGCTGGTGCCTGCGCCGCAAGAGAGGGAAGGGGTAATAGAGGAGGTGCATAGGAAGCTGGGCCACTTCGGGCATGAGCGCACAACGCAGCTGCTCAAGACCGGCTGGTGGTGGGAAGGGATGAGGAAGCAAGTCAGAGAGTGGGTCAGTGGTTGTGAAGGCTGCCAGAGAAGCAAGGCCAGCTTGACCCAGGCGAAGCAGGAGCTGCAATCACTGCCGATCAGAGGGTTGGGGTTTCGGTGGTCTCTGGACATAGCCGGCGAGCTGCCGCTGAGCAGGGGAGGACAGCGGTACATCCTACTCATGGTGGAGCATGCAAGCAAGTGGTTAGAAGTGTGTGCGTTGTCGAGCAAGGATCCCAGACATGTGGCGAAGGCATTCAAGGGACACCACGGGAGGTACTCAAGGGACAGGTGCTGTGCAGATTCGGGGCACCAGGGGAGGTACTCACCGATCAGGGCACGGAATTCAAGGGGGAGTTCCAGGCGCTGCTGGACGAGGCAAGGGTGACACACAGGCAGACATCAAGGTACCATCCTCAGAGTGATGGGTTGACCGAGCGGCTGGTGCAGACCTTGAAGCGGAACCTGAGGGCGTACGGAGAGAAGCGGAAGAGGGACTGGGATGAAGAACTAGACTGGGTGGCGGCAGGATACAGGTTCGGGAAGCAGGCGTCACTAAAGGACTACTCCCCGTACAGCCTGCTGTATGGAAAGGAACCAATACTGCCTGTGGGAGCACCAAGGGTACTGACGGGGGTGGTGAGCGTGAAGGGAGCAGAACAGTGGGTGGCGCTGGCAGAAGCACGAGCAAGATACATGCGGGAAATGCTCCCGGCTGCCTTGGAGAACTTGCACACGGCGCAGCTGAGAGATGCCCACAGATACGAGCAGCGACAGCAGCAAGGAGGCAGGAAAGCGAAGCCAGCAGTGACAGAGGGACAGGAAGTCTACCTGCGCAGAGCGAAGAAAGACACGCTGGACGTGGGGTTGGGAACAGAGAGGTGGAAGGTTAAAGAGGTGAGAGGGTCAGGGGTGCTGGTGCTGGAAAATGAGAGAGGAGAGCGGACAGTGGATCACCAGACGAACACAGCGGCAGTGAAGGAGAGACGGCCTCAGCAAGAGGGTCCTGTTACACGTGCACGGGCAGCCCGAGCACGAGCACAGGAGGGGGCATGGAGTGGCTGAGGAAGGGATGACTGTGCAAGGAGAGAAGGAGGAAAAGGGGACTGAGCGCAATGAGGCAGGAACAAGGGGAGCGAGCAGAGTAATGCAGGAACAGGGCGAGGGTGAAAGGCAGTAAGGGAAGGGACTCCGACAGCTGTCACTGAATATCATGGTAAGAGCATTATATTCTGTAACTGTGCTAACTGGGGTGTAGAAGCAGTGTAGTAATTGTCATTTCAGTTTGTACACTAGGTAGTTGGGACATTGGGAGAAGCGCGAAGTTGGTAGTATGGGGGATTGCAAGGCGCTGCGGGCACAATTCCATGGCCCTCTAGAGACAGGAAATCTGGCACGAGGCCAATACAAGGCCAAGGCGGCTCGAGCCCAACCCATCACGCTGAGAATCTCGCGACTGGGTGGCCTAGCATAAGTAAGCCTAGCCTAGCATAGTACTCTTGTTCTCTCGTTTGTTTACCAGTGCATAGTGGACTTATGTTACCGTTCTAAGCTACAGCAGCCAGGTGACAGACGCCACTCTTGGTAGCCAGCTGTGGGAAGGGACTCCGACAATGAGCAGGCATTTGTGGGACGGAGGCGGCTGTGCTACGATGCGGAGAAGGAGGAGACGCCGGTGCGCTGCGAGTCGGAGTGTTCATGCGTTGTTCACTTGTTCCACTCCTGGTGTTCACACACACATGGCACAGGAACGAGCAGATCCCAGACGAGAAATCACTAGTGGGAAGGAGGCCCCTATACTACGACGCAGAGAAGGAGGAGACGATTGTGTGCAGCGAGTCAGAGGATGAGGGCCAGCCCAGAAACAGCCATGTGTGATAAGTCGATTTTTGAGTCGACTCAATGATCGACTTTATCACACACGGCTTCGGAGACGACGGTGTGCAGCGAGTCAGTCAGAGGACGAGGGCCAGCCCAGCAGCCATCCATGCCTCGCCTTTCACGCCCCCACCCCACCCCACCCCACCCCATCCCACCTCACACCACAGGAACGAGCAGATCCCAGACGAGCAATCGCTGGTGGGGAGGAGGCGGTTATACTACGATGCAGAGAAGGAGGAGACGACAGTGTGCAGCGAGTCGGAGGACGAGGGCCAGCCCAGCAGCAGCCAACTCAAAGACTTTAGTGCCGTGCAGGACGCTCTCATATGGTGAGGAGAGAGAATGGGTGGGTGTGGTGATGGGGAGAGAGAGTATGGTGTGTGGGTGGGTGGGCGGGTGCAGCGAGTCGGAGGATGAGGGCCAGCCCAGCAGCAGCCAACTCAAAGACTTTAGTGCCGTGCAGGACGCTCTCATATGGTGAGGAGAGAGAATGGGTGGGTGTGGTGATGGGGAGAGAGAGTATGGTGTGTGAGTGGGCGGGCGGGTGCAGCGAGTCGGAGGATGAGGGCCAGCCCAGCAGCAGCCAACTCAAAGACTTCAGTGCCGTGCAAGTTGCACTCATCTGGTGAGGAGAGAGAATGGGTGGGTGTGCTTGGGAGGATGAGGGCCAGCCCAGCAACAGCCAACTCAAAGACTTGAGTGGCGTGCAGGACGCGCTGATATGGTGAGTGCGCGCATGTAGGGGGGGGATGAGGGACGTTGAGAGAGTGTGCGGTGTGCAGTGAGTCGGAGAATGAGGGCCAGCTCAGCTCAGCAGCAGCCAACTGAAAGACTTCAGTGCTGTGCAGGACGCACTGATATGGTGAGCAGGGAGAGAGTGTGTGTGAGTGTGGATGGATGGAGGGGTGCATATACAAGCAGGGGTATGAGGGCCACCAGCCCAGCAGCAGCCAGCTCAAGGACTTCACATTGCCGTGCAGGATGCACTCATATGGTGAGTGCGCCTCACACAACCACACTCCACCGCACCCAAATCCCCGTCCCTCTGCTGTGTCTGGCTGTTCCTTGAGCGTCTTGCTTCGTCCTTCAAATCTCACTCCACCTTACTCCAACGCACTCCACCGCACCCAATCCCTTCCCGCTGCTGCTTCCTGCAGGAGGACCATCCAGCAGCACGGCGATTCTGGGATTGTGATTGAGCATCTCGCTTCATCCTTGAATGCCCAGGCAGAGCAGGTTCAAGTAAGTTTCCCTCAGTTCACCTGCTCATTCTTCATTTGGTGTTTCAGTTTTTTCCGGCGCTCGTTCGAGAGAGCGAGAGAGAGAGAGAGAGACGACAAGGGTGACTTAGCCTTCTCCCTCCTAGCCTCTTCCCCTCCCTTCCCCCGCTATATAATGGCCGCTCGGCCTCTTTCCTAGCTCATCCTTTTTTTCATTTGACCGCAGTCAAGGCAATGTCCTGCTCTCCCCATCCCTCCTTTTTCTTCTCCATGCCGTCCCTGCTGCGACCCCATCCAGATGCGTCACACGGAGCTGAAGGCACAGTACCAGGAGATTCAGGCGTTTCTAGAGAAGGAGAAGAATCAGGATGGGGTTTCTGAGGAGGAGAAAAGAGAAAGTGAGCGCGAAATGGTGCAGGAGGCGGCAGAACCACGAGGGGCACCAGGTGAATCGGCAGCAGGAGGGACAGCAGGAGGGGCAACAACAGCAGGAGTTCAAACAGCAGAGGCACGCGCAGCAGAAGCGCGAGCAGCAGAGGCACACGTGGGAGCAGCAGATGCAGGAACAGGTGCAGGAGGGGCAGCTGTGGCAGAAGCAGCAGCTGCGGATGCAGCAGCAGGAGAAGTGTCAGCAGCAAGAAGAGGAGCAGCAGAAACGGCAGGAGCAGGAGCAGGAGCAGCAGGAACAGAAACAGCACTTGATTGTGAGAGTAACAGCGTGGGCATGGAGGTGATTTGGAGGAGTCTCAGGACCGTGCAGTTCCCTCTGGCAACCCCCCCTCATGCCACCTGCTGGTGGCAGCAGGGACACATACACAGTGATGCGCTACGGCAGGAGCAGGGTTTTGAGTTGACTCAAAACACGGCACACGTACACAGTGATGCGATACGGCAGGAGCAGGAGCAGCAGGGAGAGGCTCTAGAGCAGCAGCAGTCAATGCGACAGCAGCAGCTAACACAGCAGCAACAGTTGTCCCTGCAGCAACAGTTGCCACAGCAGCAGGGCACACAGCAGCAGGAGTCAACTGCAGGGGAGGCACGTCCAAGAGGAGAGGAGCAGCAGGTCGGCGATCCTATGCCAGTGGAAGGGAGAGAGGAATTGAGTCGAATGCAAGTGGACGGGGAAAAGGGTGCTTGTCCTATGCAAGTGGATAGGGGCGAGGGAAGAACTGCGGATGAGAAAGGAAGACCAGTGTTGCTGGCAGCAGTTGAACGGCTGTCGATCTCAACAACAAATACACCGGCTGAAGAAGCAGCAGCAGCAGCAGCAGCAGGTGCAGCAGCAGCAGTAGGAGAAGAAGCAGCAGCAGCAGTAGAAGAAGCAGCAGCAGCCGCAACAGGAGCCCCTGATGCTGATGCCACTGCTGGTGCTGCCCCTGATGCTGATGCCACTGCTGGTGTTTCCACTGATGCGGCTGCTACATCTGGTGGTGCTGCCGCTAGTGTTACTACTGGCTCAGGCCAAGACACAAACATGAGTGGTCCGGGATCTTCCGCTCCTTGCACTTCTCACACTGGCACTTCTGCTGCAATCGCTGCTGCAAATCCTGTTCCTGATTCCACTGTTGCCGATCCTAGTCTGAGTGAAACGACTGGTTCAGGCTCAGGTGGAGTGTGTGAGAGCACGAGGCAGGTGCTGCTGGGGCAGTTTGAGGACTTGGAGGGAGCCATGGACTCGTGGGACCACCTCTTCTGCCGCAGATGCCTCGTGAGTCTCTGAGAGTGAGTGAGTGAGCGAGGGAGTGAGTGAGGGAGGGAGCAAGTGATGGAGTGAGTAATTGAGTGGAGCGGTTCTTTTTTCTATCCAGTGCATACATGCCCTATCCCATCATTTTTGAGACTTCTCAAAAGTAACCTCTACACACGTGGCTTCTTTTTTCTATCCTGTGCATTCATGCCCTATCCCATCATTCATCCAATACAAACGAGCCCTCTCACCATCCCTTTTCCTCCCCGTCTCTTTCTCGCTCCAATATTTGGTGACACGGCGCATGAAGTGAAAGTGGCCTTTTGAATCGGCCCAAACCAAGTGTAATGAGTCGTGTTTCGAGTCAACTCAAAACGTGACACGGCGCATGAAGTGAAAGTGGCCTTTTGAATCGGCCTAAACTCTGCCCTCCCCCCTCACCCCCCTCCCCCTCCTCTCTCCCCTTTCGATTTCTTCCACCTTTCTCGGGCAGATCTTTGATTGCAAGACACACACACACACAACCGTCGATGAGCCTGTGGTGCCTGTGAGTTGAAATGCATCCCCCCCCCCCCCCCCCTTGCCCTTCTAACTCCCCCACCCCCGTACTTCCCTCCTCCTTGTCATGCAGATCTTTGATTGCAAGACACACGGAACCGTCGACGAGCCAGTGGTGCCTGTGAGTTGATTCTGGGTCGACTTGAGTTGACTTTTGAGTCAGCTTATGAGTTGACGTTTGAGTCAGCTTATGAGTTGACTTTTGAGTCAGCTTATGAGTTGACTTTTGAGTCAGCTTATGAGTTGACTTTTGAGTCAGCTTATGAGTTGACTTTTGAGTCAGCTTATGAGTTGACTTTTGAGTCAGCTTATGAGTTGACGTTTGAGTCAAATGTTGGTCGACGCAGGGAAAGGGTTGCAAGACACACGAAACTGGCGACGAGCCGGTGGTGCCTGTGAGTTGAATTTCATCGGACTTGATTTGAGATGACTTCTAAGTCAGAGTATGAGTCAGTCAACTCGAAAAAAGATTGCAAGGCACATGGAAGGAACCGTTGACGAGCCTGTGGTGCCGGAGTTGTCGAATGCAGACAGGTTGCACTTGCGTAAACTCGAAAAAAGATTGCAAGGCAGCACATGGAAGGAACCGTTGACGAGCCTGTGGTGCCTGTGATGTGAGTCATTTCAAATTCAATTTTTGTGGTTAGCCAAAAAGAAGGAAAGAAAAAAGTGAGAAAAAAAAGTGGTGTTGCTTGCGAATCAATCTCTCTGCTGATGCCGCTGCGTTGTTTTCATCTTCCTCTCCTCACCGCCTGCTAACTACCTGCTTTAGGGTCGACAACAGGCCAGGCCGTTCTCACGCCACGCCATGTGTCTTGAAACATTCATTCTGTTGCGCCCTCTGCGCTTCTTCTCCCCCCCCACCCCCCACCCACCCCTCTTTCCCCTCTTTCCCGCTCCCCCGCCTTGCAGTCGGATCAGCAACCCCCTGTGGAATCTACTGACGTTGGCAAGTCACCCATGCCTGCTGGGCCTTGCGGCCCCTTGTGCTTCATGCATGTAAGTCCCCGACCCTCAGTTTTCCTGGGCAGGCAGCTTGCGTGTAACTGCCGTGTACGATTTGTCTTTCTTTCTTTCGTTCGTTCTTTCTTTCTTCTTTCTTTCTTTCTTTCTTTCTTTCTTTCTTTCTTTCTTTCTTTCTTTCTTTCTTTCTTTCTTTCTTTCTTTCTCTCTTTCTTTCTTTCTTTCTTTCTTTCTTTCTATCTTTTTTTCATTGAAAATCAGAAAGTATGGTATAGATAGGTTAATTGCTGGAGCCGGCCCGTTTGGCGGCAAAACTGGCTTGAATTCAAGCAGTAGAGGAGAGGAAAACACTGCATAAACGAAGGGAAAAGGGCAATCAGTAGGGCAGGGCAGGGCCCATGTATGTATCCGTCTCTCTGCTCCCCTCTTACCATTGACCTTGGCCTTCGCCTTGGCGCTGTAGGTTCCTTCTCTTGTGGCGTTTGGAAGCCGCCTCAAATGCAAGCAGCAGAGGAGAAAGCAGCGAAAACCAAGGGAAATGGCAAGCAGTAGAATTGGGAAAGGGGTGAACTCAGCCTGTTTCCCCCCTCTCCGCTTTTACCCTTGGCCCTGGCCTTGGCTTTGGCTTTGGCCATGTTGCAGGTTCCTGCTCTCATGGCACTGAAGCTTACTCGAATGCAAGCAGCAGAGAAGAAAGCAGCAAAAACCAAGGCAAAAGGCAAGAAAAAAGGGAAGCAGATTGTTGGTTTGGTGAAAATGGAGGATGAGGAGGAGGAAGCAGAGGAATTGGAGGAAGAGGAGGAGGAGGAGGTTGAATTATCGGACAGTGTTGCTGGGGAGGAGAGTGAGGAGGAGGAGGAGGAGGAGGAGGAGGGAGGGGAGGAGAATGCGGAAGAAGAAGAGGAGACAATGGAGGAGGAGGAGGGTGAAGAGGTGGAGAAGGAGGGAGGCAAGGAGGGAAAGAGTGTGAAGGAAGAGGAGATGGGCGAGGAGGAAGAGGAGGAACAAGAGGAACAAGAGGAGGGAAAGGAAGGAAGGTTATACACAGGGGAAGGGGCTGGGGAGGGAAGTAGCCAGGTCGTGGGGAGGGGTGATAAGAAGGGGAGCGGAGGAAGAGGAAAGGGCCGAGGACGTGGGAGGGCGGGGAGAGGAGGAAGTGGAAGGGGAAGAGGAGTGAGATGGCGTGAGGGAGAAGGAGGTGAGAGGAGGAGAGGAAAGGGGGAAAAGGAGGAGGGTGAGAAGGGAAAGCGGGAGAGAGAAGGTAGCCCATCGGTTTTGGAGATTAGCTCGGAAGAGGAGGGTGATGCGAGTGATGGGGAGGCTTGTACGGGGGATGAGGCGGAAGGAGGTGATGTAAGGATGACTGCTGATGTGGAAGGTGATGGGGATAGGGGCTGTGAGCGGGAAAATGGAGAGGAGAAAGAGGCAATAGAAGGCAAAGAGCGGGTGAGAAATCTGGAAGAAGGGGAGGATGTGAAGGAGGGAAGAGAAGTGATGGAAGAAGAGGAAGGGAGGGAAGGGATGGAAGGGACGCAAGGAAAGGACGGGATGGAAGAGGAGGAAGGGAGGGAAGGGATGGAAGGGACACAAGGAAAGGACGGGAGAAGCAAGGAGAAGCAGCAGCAGCAGCAGCAGCAGCAGCAGCAGCAGGAGCAGCGGGAGCAGCAGGAGGAGCAGGAGAAGGAGCAGCATTGCGATCAGCAGGAGTGGAGTGCGTTGGAGAGGGAATTACTGAGCAAGGGCGTGCGGATATTCGGTGCGAGCAGCTGTGTGCTGGCACGCACAGTGCTGGCTCACCTCAAGACGTGCTCCCAGATCGCACACTGCTTGTTGGGGCAGGAGGGGGGCGACATGCATGAAGAGACACCCACCCCGGTACTACCTACCTTCCCACTTAGCCACCTACCTATCTACCTACCTACCCTCATGCCAAATCTGTCTCCCTCTTGTTAGGAGGACGACTCACACTTGGCAGCTGTGAGTTGGGCAATCAGTCGCCTCACAGCCGACTTTCGAGTCGACTCAAAAGTCAGCTCAAATCTGTCTCCCTCTTGTTATGACGACTCACACCTGGCAGCTGTGAGTTGGGCAATCAGTCGCCTCACAGCCAGCCTGGCAGCCTTCCTCCCCCCCACGCCTCCTTATCCCCACCCCTCCTTCCTCTTCCTCGCACACTCCAGATGGGTCGGCATTGCTGCCGCGCTGCCAAGGCGAGGAGGAGGCTGGTGCAGTGCAGGCGCAGAGCAACTTTTGAGGAGGCTGGTGCAGTGCAGGCGCAGAGCAACTTTTGAGGAGGCTGGTGCAGTGCAGGCGCAGAGCAACTTTTGAGTCGACTCAAAAGTCACCGCGTTGCTGCCGCACTGCCAAGGCGAGGAGGAGGCTGGTGCAGGCGCAGAGCAGAGGCGAGGAGGCGAGAAGGCGGTTGGTTGGTGCAGTGCAGGCGCAGAGCAGAGGCGAGGAGGTCGTTTTTGAGGCGCCTCAAAAAGGAGGAGGCTGGTGCAGGTGCAGGTGCAGAGCAGAGGCGAGGAGGCATGGCTGCATTTCCTCCTTTCATCTCATCTCATGCAACCCACTCCCCCTCCTCCCCTCTCCCATGCAATCCAGACGGGTCGCCATCGCCGCCGCACGGCCAAGGCAAGGCGGAGGCTGGTGCAGGCACAGTGGGGGTACAACAAGGGGCGCCGGAAGGGAGGAGCAGGGCAACCCGTGGTGGTGCAAAGGCTCAAGGCAGAGGCCTCGAAAGAGGTAAGGGGCATGAAGGGGCAGGCATGGGGCAGGAAAGGGCAGGAGTGAAGGGGGGGGCAGTGCCAAGGCGAGAAGGCGGCTGGTGCAGGCACAGTGGGGGTACAAGTTACAACAAGGGGCGGCGGAAGGGAGGGGCAGGGCAGCCCGTGGTGGTGCAGAGGCTCAAGGCAGAGGCCTCGAAAGAGGTAAGGGGCATGAAGGGGCATGAAGGGGCAGGCATGGGGCAGGGCAGCCCGTGGTGGTGCAGAGGCTGAAAGCAGAAGCATCTAAGAGGAAGTGAGGATGCAGGAAGGGAGGGCCGTGTCAAGGCACGGAGGAGGCACAGCCAAGGTAAGGAGAAGGCTGGTGCAGGCACAGCGGGGGTACAACAAGGGGTGCCGGAAGGGGAGTCTGGACAACCCATGGTGGTACAGAGGTTTAAAGCCGAAGCATCCAAGGAGGTATACAACAAGTGCAAGGGATACGGCAAGTGTTTTCTGCCTGCCCTTTGCAGTGTTGGTGCAGAGGAAAAAGACAGGAGGGAAGGGCGGGAGGAAGGGAGGGAGGGAGGGAGCAGCAGGGGGCGCACTGGCTGGCTGGCAGTGCCAAGGCAATCACGAGGCTGGTGCCATGCAGCTGCAAGCACCCTCTTGCCATGCAGCTGCAAGCACCCTCTTGCCATGCAGCTGCAAGCACCCTCTTGCCATGCAGCTGCAAGCACCCTCTTGCCATGCAGCTGCAAGCACCCTCTTGCCATGCAGCTGCAAGCACCCTCTTGCCATGTAGCTGCAAGCACCCTCTTGCCATGCAGCTGCAAGCACCCTCTTGCCATGCAGCTGCAAGCACCCTCTTGCCATGCAGCTGCAAGCACCCTCTTGCCATGTAGCTGCAAGCACCCTCTTGCCATGTAGCTGCAAGCACCCTCTTGCCATGCAGCTGCAAGCACCCTCTTGCAATGCAGCTGCAAGCACCCTCTTGCCATGCAGCTGCAAGCACCCTCTTGCCATGCAGCTGCAAGCACCCTCTTGCCATGCAGCTGCAAGCACCCTCTTGCCATGCAGCTGCAAGCACCCTCTTGCCATGCAGCTGCAAGCACCCTCTTGCCATGCAGCTGCAAGCACCCTCTTGCCATGCAGCTGCAAGCACCCTCTTGCCATGCAGCTGCAAGCACCCTCTTGCCATGCAGCTGCAAGCACCCTCTTGCCATGCAGCTGCAAGCACCCTCTTGCCATGCAGCTGCAAGCACCCTCTTGCCATGCAGCTGCAAGCACCCTCTTGCCATGCAGCTGCAAGCACCCTCTTGCCATGCAGCTGCAAGCACCCTCTTGCCATGCAGCTGCAAGCACCCTCTTGCCATGCAGCTGCAAGCACCCTCTTGCCATGCAGCTGCAAGCACCCTCTTGCCATGCAGCTGCAAGCACCCTCTTGCCATGCAGCTGCAAGCACCCTCTTGCCATGCAGCTGCAAGCACCCTCTTGCCATGTAGCTGCAAGCACCCTCTTGCCGGCCTCCTCACTTGAAGCCATTTCCATCGATCGACTTCCCTCCCCTATCTCTCTTCCCTTCCTCCCTCCCTCCCCTCCCCCGCTACCCCTCCCTCTCAAACACCTCAGCGTCAGTACGAGCCCTGCAGTTCAGTTTTAAGGTGTTTGAGCAAGTGCCCTGGGTGTTTGAGCAAGTGCCCTGGGTGTTTGAGCAAGTGCCCTGGGTGTTTGAGCAAGTGCCCTGGGTGTTTGAGCAAATGCCCTGGGTGTTTGAGCAAGTTCCCTGGGTGTTTGAGCAAGTGCCCTGGGTGTTTGAGCAAGTGCCCTGGGTGTTTGAGCAAGTGCCCTGGGTGTTTGAGCAAGTGCCCTGGGTGTTTGAGCAAGTGCCCTGGGTGTTTGAGCAAGTGCCCTGGGTGTTTGAGCAAGTGCCCTGGGTGTTTGAGCAAGTGCCCTGGGTGTTTGAGCAAGTGCCCTGGGTGTTTGAGCAAGTGCCCTGCAGGGCTCGTACTGACGCTGCAGGTGCCCTCAAAACTAGACACCTCAGCTTCAGTACGAGCCCTGCAGCTGCAAGCGCCCATGCGCCAAGTGCACCTGTGAATGCATCAGATTTTCTCATCACCACCACATCTCTGTCCCTCTCTCAGTGTCAGTACGAGCCCTGCAGCTGCAAGGGGCCATGCGCCAAGTGCACCTGTGAATGTGAATGTGAACATTTCTTACCACCACTCCTCCTCTTCCCCTTCCCCCCGCCTCCCTTTCCCCCTCTCCCTCTCAAATGCCTCAGCGTCAGTACGAGCCATGCAGCTGCAAAGGGCCATGCGCCAAGGCCACATGTGAATGCATCATGAGGGGTTGCTTCTGCGAGAAATACTGCGGGTGAGCGTTTCGAGAGATATCAAAAGCCTTCTATGCACCTAAAAGAAATCAAAGCCTCGCTTGCCCTTCTATCCATCCTGTCTGTCTGTTTTGTATCTTCACGTACCTTCTCTCTCTCACTCACTCACTCCTGCCCCGTCCTTTCACACATGTCCTCTTCTTTCGTGCCTCCCCGTTGATCCGCTTCCTCACCTGGCTTGTGTGCCGTTTTTTAGTCGACTCAAAAACTGAGTAAACTAAAAACACAACTCCTTTCACACATGTCCTCTTCCGTGCCTCTCACACATGTCCTCTTCCGTGCCTCTCACACATGTCCTCTTCCGTGCCTCTCACGCATGTCCTCTTCCGTGCCTCCCCGTTGATCCGCTTCCTCACCTGGCTCGTGTGCCGTTCCCCTTCCGTCTTTCCTTCTCTATCACGTCTCCACCTGTGCCCAGGCTTGCACGAATCGTGTTTTGAGTCGACTCAAAACACGACTTGATCCGCTTTCTCATCTGGCTCATGTGCCATTCCCCTTCTGTCTTTCCTTTCCACATCTCCAGCTGTGCCCAGGCGTGCAAGAACCGCTTCAGCGGCTGCAACTGTGCCAAGAGCCACTGCTCCCTCACCTCACCTCACCCCAGACCACCCATCTCTCTACCTCCGGACTGTTCTTTATATCTCCATGCTCGTCCTTCCCTGTCCAACCTGGAGCTGTGCCCAGGCGTGCAAGAACCGATTCAGGGGCTGCAACTGTGCCAAGAGCCACTGCTCCTCGCGCCTCTGCCCCTGCTTTGCTGCATCCAGGGAGTGTGACCCTGACCTCTGCCGCAACTGCTGGGTTGAGTGAGTGGGCCTCCTTCTTCCCCCTTTACATCTCTGTGAGTGGTATTCACGGTCACACTGCTTTGCTGCATCCAGGGAGTGTGACCCTGACCTCTGCCGCAACTGCTGGGTTGAGTGAGTGCTCGTGCCTCTACTCCCCGAGTGAAAAGTCTTGAAAAAATGCACTGTTGGGTCGCAACTGCTGGGTCGAGTGAGTTTTTTCCCTTCATCTTGCCCTGAAACCCTTTTTTTTTTTTTTTTTTATCTTCGAGGGTATTGCTGCCTGGTAGTTGCTTTCGCTGCTGCATTGGAGTTGTGTCTCTCAAGAGTGCGACCCAGACCCGTGCCTAAATAGCTGTGAGGGAGGTGACTTTTGTTTTGAGTCGACTCAAGAGTTTTACTTGTTAAAATGTTACAATGGCATTGTTCCTTGCCTGTCTGTGTCACGTGTGCGAAGTTGCGGGGATAACCGCCAAGGGGCTGTGCTGCCACTGCCACCGCCTGTGAGGGAGAAAAACTACGACTGCCACAACATGCGCTTGCTGCTGCGCCAGCACCAGCACGTGAGTGGGTCGTCTGTATCACCCAATCCCTTGTACCTTGCATTGCACCAGCACGTGAGTGGGTCGTCTGTATCACCCAATCCCTTGTACCTTGCATTGCACCAGCACGTGAGTGGGTCGTCTGTATCACCCAATCCCTTGTACCTTGCATTGCACCAGCACGTGAGTGGGTCGTCTGTATCACCCAATCCCTTGTACCTTGCATTGCACCAGCACGTGAGTGGGTCGTCTGTATCACCCAGTCCCTTGTACCTTGCATTGCACCAGCACGTGAGCGCCCCTAGGCAGATTTCAACCCCCTTTCTTTCCCCGCCTCACCCTCGTTCCCTCCCCCTTTCCACCTTTGTAAACTCGTTTCGTCTCACCTCCCCCCCTCTGTACCCTAGTTTCTTCCCTTCCCCTGTAACCTCATCTCCTCCCCCTTCCCGTTCCCCCCCCTGTAACCTGGTCACCTCCCCTCTACCTGCCTGCAGATTCTACTAGCCCCCTCGGACGTGGCTGGCTGGGGTGCCTTTCTCAAGGTGAGTGGTTTTTCGTTTCTGCACTGGAGGGTTACGGTATGGTACTGTGTGGTACTGTATGGTATTATGTGGTACGGTAGGGTAATGTGTGTTATGGTATGATAAGTTGTAGCATTGCATGACAAGGCAGAGCATGCTGTGATGTGATATGGTGGTGCTCGTGTCTGCACAATTGGTTTGACTTTTGAGAATTCTCAAAAGTCAAACCAACAAAGCACTGCATGACCTGCATTCTCAGAATAACATGGTAGAGCATATACATGGGCAAACGAGTCGAGTTTTTACTAGACTCGTTTGAAGTACTCGAAAATAACGAGTTTCGAGTTCTGATTTTGGTAAAAAAAGCTCGTGAAAACGAGTCGATTTTTACTCGCGAGTTAAAAAAAACTCGTGAAAAACTCGGCTAGACAGGCGAGTAACCCATAACTCGCGAGTTTTTTTTCACTCACGAGTTTTGTTTAACCTAGACGAGTTTTAAAAAACTCGTGCATCAAATGGTCCACCACAGGGGGGTACAAATGTCTGTTTCTGGGTTAATATGCTGCTGGAGGTGTGGCTCGCTGTTTTGGATGTGTTCCACCACTTAATTGTGAACACTAGTGCAGCTGGCGTGGCGGTGAGTAGCTTTTTTGGAAAGTGAAAGGGGGGAGGAGAGGTGGGGCTGGCTGGGTCGTTTGTGGGTGTTGACGCGTGTGGCAGTTTTCTGGGCACCCTACAACTGTTTTCGTGTGGCTGGGGTTTTAGGTTAGGGTAGTGTTTAACTTCGAGTCGAGTTTTGCTTGACTCGGACGAGTTTTTTTAAGGCTCATCCGAGTTTTCAAAAAACTCGACTTTGGGGCCGAGTTTCGAGTCAGCATTTTGACCAAAAAAACTCGACGAGTAAAACTCGACTCGACTCGTCAAAGGGAAAAAACTCGTCAAAACGAGTCAAGTAAAACTCGACTCGCCATTTGCCCATGTATAGTAGAGCACGGTGTGATATGGTGGTGCTCGTGTCTGCGCAATCGACCTGCAGCAGAAGTTGAAATGAAATGACGTCCGTGAATTGACATCCTCGAGTCATCCGAATCAACACAATTGCCACTGGAAAGATAAACATGTGATGTGCTGATGTGTGGTGCTACACTCCCCTGCTCTGTGGTGTTGTGTGCTGCCGCATGCTATGCGGTGTGGTGCGGTAATGTGCGATTCATGAGTCGGGTGAAAGTGAGAGTGCTGAGGATTGCACATGCGAGCTCATAACAGGGCACACTCATTTGCTTATACTGTGCTCTCCATGTTATTCTGTGCGATGTTGTGTGGTAACATGTGGTGATGTGTGGTGCAATGCGGAAATATGCGGTGCTGTGCGGTGCAGAAGGAGGTGGCGAAGAACGACTACGTGGGGGAGTACACAGGCGAGCTCATATCAGAGGCGGAGGCAGAGAGGAGGGGCAAGATATACGACCGCATCAATTGCTCCTTCCTGTTCGATCTCAACAAAAAGGTCAGTCAATTGATGTGCTCTGAGAATCTATTGGTGAAACCATAATTTCTTGGGCAATCCCGTGAGGGGCAAGATCTACGACCGAACCAACTGCTCTTTCCTCTTTGATCTCAAGAAGGTCAGTTGTTGCTGCATTGTGACATTGTATTTTGAGTTGCCTCAAAAGAGGCCGAGAGGAGGGGCAAGATCTACAACCGCATCAACTGCTCCTTCCTGTTCGATCTCAACAAAAAAGGTCAGTTGATGCGCTGTGCCCTTTCGAGTTGTTCTGGCAATGGTACCAGTGGAGTTTTTTTTGTAATGGTATTCTCCCCCACTCCCCCACTAAGTATCGATTTTATTTTCCTCACCCCTCCTGCCCCCACCCCATCCCCAACCCTAAACAACCAACCCTCCTCCTTCCAGTATGTGCTGGATGCGTTTCGTCGAGGCAACAAGCTGAAATTCGCCAACCATTCGCTTTCGCCAAATTGCCATGCCAGGGTGAGTGTGATTTAATGAACCTGGAAACCTCATGCAGTCTGCTTCGAAGCTGCATCTTTCTTATTGCTAATGAAAGTCTTCTTTTGCATGTGCGGTGCGGTTTCTCAGGTCATTATGTCTGGTGGTGATCATCGAGTGGCAATTTTTGCCGGAGAAAGAATTGAATCTGGGAAGGAGCTGTTTTACGACTATGGATATGCATCTAATTGCACGCCTTTATGGGCACTCAAGCTTGGAACAGCAGCACGTAGGACAGGCGGTCCAGGAGGAAGCTCGAAGACCACTAGAAAAGCTCAAAAGGCTTCTTGAATATGAAAAGGCTCGTTTTCTTTAATCATACTGATGCAATGTATGGACTGTACGAATCCTCTTCTACCACCTGTAACAATGAGACCAATGTTGATAAAGGTTTCGCTCAGGTTCAGAGGCTTCGGTTACAATCAGGTGTTCTAATGTGACGGTTGCAGACACTGTTGAGCAGTCCGAACCGCCTGTGATGTCACACCAACCTGAAGGTTCAATGGTTAGGGTAAATTGCGCTAGCAAGTCGAGATCAACAAAGTAGAAAGTTTCACTAGAGTGGAAAATGTTCCGAGATCAGCCTTGGTATTCCGAGCTGCAGTCCCCAAAGTGATTGAATTGAGAACATAGAAATGACAACCCCTTCGGTGCTAGAAAGGTTTTGTAAGCAGATATTTGTAACTGTATCCCACAGGATACACTTTCCGTGTGGAGGAGCAGGTTCTGTAGGCTCCGACCACACCCCCAGAATCAACAGCCCAGGTGGGAACCTACAGTTTGCGAATCACTCACCTCAACCACAATAACGCGTCTCCGTACCGTACTGTACCTGATATCTCACTACAGTACACCTTCCACGTTTCATTTCACTGGTGCGGGCAATTTTGATATGATGAGCCCAGGGATAGTGCTCACAGCCATGGGTGTGAGGAGGATCTCAGAAGAGTTGGGTTGGGTGGGATGGGATCGGACTCTCCAGACGGGCAGGCTGGACGGGCAGGGGCTACAAGGCGACCAACAAAAACTGTACACCAAGAAGGAAATTCCGAGGGGGAGACAGGAAGGCAGGGCAAGAAAGGAAACTCCAAGGAGCTCCTTGCAGTGCCCAGAAGAGAGGAGAGGTACAGCAGGCAGCAGCTCGTATCAGGAGGACTCGAGGGGACAAGCTCTTGGTTGCTCGCCGCGCCACATTCTCGTTATCGTGCGGTGATAGGGCCACATTCGCCTAGCAGGCAGAAAATCAGGTCCCATGATGTCGCAGTGATAGGCGCGCGCATGGGGGCATCTCATCCCCGCGGACGCTCCGCCAGGATCTCCCCTGCTAGTTGGAGATCCGCGATGGTTCCCGCCACTGGCGCGCGTAAGCGCCTCCCGCCAAGTTCTCCTTCCGCCCATCCCCCGCGAATCTTTTTCCCCGCTTCCGCCCACGCTTCCGCCCGCGCTTCCGCTGCCACGCCCTTCACCTCGATAATGTCCGCGATACTGTTGTCCTCGTTACTGTTCGCCGCATTACTAGTCACTCCAGCGGTAGCCCAGGGGACAGATGCGGCCTCCCCCGGCTGTACCGTCTCCGCGTCGGCGGTATCCTGCCCGGCGGGACTTGGGGGCCGCGCATTTGCGCTCAACGCGCAAGCTTACATCGCGGGCGCAGGCCGAGAAAACGCGCTCGTCCTGGGCGCGGGCGGAACCGCGGATAAGGGATCCGCGGGTTCCGCATTCACTATCGCCGCGCTCTCGCCTCCGCTCGGTGGCGGAGGCTCCTTTTCGGCGCGCTTCACATTCCAGCTGGAGGGGCAGAACGAGGCTGACGTGGCAACGGGGCTTGCTTTCGTCATCATTGGCGGAACCAACACCGCTGTCGGATCGCCTAGGTGAGATCCAGCATTCCCCATCGTCGCTCTTATCCCCTCTCCTCCGCCGCCGTTGTCTCCCCTTTCCCCGCCTCCCCGGCCCATTGTTCCTCTTTCCCCCGCTTCCTCTTTCCCCCGCTTCCTCTTTCCCCCGCTTCCTCTTTCCCCCGCTTCCATGCCGTGCCCCTTATCTGACCTTGCCCCTCCCCCCCCAAGCTCTCCCCGTGTGGTTTCCCGTGCGCTCATCCATGCCCTCCCCTGTGCGCTCGTCCATGTGTCCCCCCATGCGCTCCCCCATGTGTCCCCCCATGCCTTCCCCCGTGTGTCCCCCCGTGCGCTCCACCGTGCGCTCCCCCGTGCGCTCCCCCACGCATCACCCACCCCACCCCCGTCCTCCACTCCCCACACAGCTCTGCCGGCTACGGCGGCGCCGCCTTCGATGCCAGCCTGGCAGTGGTGATCAACGGCCGCCCGCCCATCTCTGCCGGCCTGCTGCTGGGCGGCAAGGCGGACGGCACTGCCGGATGGGCGGCTCTCAACCCCTCCGCGCCTGACGCACCCCATGTAAGCTGAGCGTGTAAGGAGGGAGAAAGGGAGGGTCCGCGCCATCTACGATGAGCGTGTGGGGGGAAGGGAGAAAGGGTCGTGTCCCCATGTCCGATGAGGAGGGGGAGGGAGGGGCGCAACCCACGTACGTACGTGACTCGAGGGCTACGTGTGTTCGTGAAACACTGCTGAGAAATTCCAACAGTGCTCTCCTAAACTCCCCCTTTTTGCCCCTTCCCTTTCCCACCTTCCCCATCCCCCTCTCCCCTCCCCCAGCTCCTGGTCCCGGGGGTGCAGCAGCACGCCTGGGTGGACTACGACGCCTCCCACTCCTCCCTTGTTCCCACTATACCCATTCCTTACCCCATACTGTCTGTTCCTCTTCTACCCCCACTCTCTTCCCCCCCCCAGCTCCTGGTCCCGGGGGTGCAGCAGCACGCCTGGGTCGACTACGACGCCTCTAGCACCACCCTCCGCCTCTTCCTCAGCGGCTCCTCCCCCACCAAGCCTGCAGCTCCGGTGCTCTCCGAGCCTGTCGACCTGGCTCGGACGCTCGGCTTGGCCGCAGACGGCAGCTGCCCAGATGGCATTGGCGAGGCGGCGGTGGGCGGCGGTGGTTGTCTGTTTGTGGGGTTTACGGGAGGGTCGGCAGCAGTGGATACAGCTGAGCTGGCAGCAGCGGGAGTGGTCCCCGGAGGGGAGCTCATCCAGACCGTTGACTCGTTTGACTTCAAATTCCTCTCCGCCGACGCTACAGCCGGCGCTACAGCCGGTGCTACAGCTGATACTGCCACTGCAACCTCTGCCGATGCTACCAGCACTGAGTCACGCCTCCCCCGCTCGGCAGATATCAGCAGTGCAACGGTGGCTTCCTTCGGAGCCACAGACCCCTCTGCTGCAGGCGGCGGTCTCTTCTCAGTCGCCTCTGTCGATTCCAGCTCTGGCACTGGTGGTCTCACTGCCTCTGCCGCCCCTGCCCCTGCCCCTTCCGCTAGCTCCCCCTCCTCCTGCAACGTCACTGCCACCAGCATCTCGTGTGCTGGTTTTTCCTCTTCTTCCTCCTCCTCGCCCTTCTTCGTCCTCTCTGGGGATGCTCAGATCGGGCCCGGACCGAACTTCCCCATCTGGCTCGACACCACCACCAATGCTGCAGGCTGCGCCTTCTCCATCCCGAGCCTCAGCCTCAGCCTCGGCACCGGACCGGTGGCGTTTGAGGCGGCGTTTTCGTTTTCGTTTGCGACGAGTGCGGATTACAACAGCTGGGGTAGTCGAGGGCTGGCGTTTGTGCTCACTGCCGGGGAGAAGACCGCCTGTGGCCGCAGCTCCGCCAGGTGGGGAGCGGTGGGGAGGGATAGGGTGTGGTAGCACTGATCCGTGTCACAGCTCCCAACACGGATCTCCATTTGCCCTGACTCTTCCCTCTGCTGCCACGTTCCTATTCCCTCTGATTCCCGTCTTCTGCCCCCTCTTCCCATCCACCACCCGCACCCCCTCCCTCTTCCAACCAGCAACATAGGCTATGGATCAGCCCCTAACGCGTCGTTCGCAAATAGCATAGCAGTGGAGCTGAGAGCGCGGCCGACGGCGTGTGTGGCGGTGGTGGTGGGCGGGCAGGTGGCCGGCGACAACTGTGCCGACTCCGATGCCATGGCGCTGCTGCCGCCAGGGCAGGTAACACCTGGTTGGGTTACACCTGGTTGGGTAGAGCTGCCTACTCAGGTAACAACTGTGCCGACTCTGATGCCATGGCGCTGCTGCTGCGCAGCCAGGTAACGCCTGCTCAGGTAGCGCCCGGTCGGGTTACGCCTCGTCGGGTGAAACCTGCTGCGGTAACTCCTCCAGGGGTAAGGCCTGCTCGAGTAGGGTTAACACCTGTTGGGTAAGGCTTTTTTTCATTGGCCCCTACACGTTGTTTTTTATTAGAATTGCTTTGCGTCATTACTTTGGCCAAATGTGTGGTCTCGAGTTCAATTCCCACTGTGCACCATGATTAGTGCCTGTCTAAGTCAACCCCGGTGAAGAGGATGCCTTTTGCACGTCATCCTAGGTCTTGCAGGCATGCTCTCTCCCTTATCGTCATACGTCCTTAAAGCCCAGTGGTTAGCAGTCCAGCTGGTCCAACACCAAGCCCCACTTTCCCGTAACCCCCACTCCCCTGCTCCACCCGCCCCCCCTGCTCCCTCCACTTCTCCGCTCCCCCAACCCCCCCCCCCCCCACTCCCCCCCACCCACCCAGGCGTTCACGCTGAACGAGCCGCAGCACGTGTGGGTGAGTTATGACGGCAGCAGCGGCACGCTGCAGGTGTTTGTCTCCCCAGGCGCGGCCACCAAGCCCTCGGCGCCCGTGTTGGTGGCGCCCATCGATGTGGCGGTGGTTCTGGGAGGCACGGCGGGGCTGTCGGTGGGCTTCACAGGCGCGTCGTGGTGGACGTGGGTGGACGACCTTGAAGACCACCTCATCCACTCCCTGTCTTTTGAAGCTGGTACGATATGTATCATTCATATAATGGGGGGGGGGGAGGAAGGGAGAAGGGGAGGACGTGGGTGGACGACCTTGAAGACCACCTCATCCACTCCCTCTCCTCCCAAGCTGGTAACCACATCATCCACTCCCTCTCCTCCCAAGCTGGTAACCACATCATCCACTCCCTCTCCTTCCAAGCTGGTACGATTTTTTATCACTGTTGTTATTTCTATGGTTGTTATGATTGATATTACTAGCATTGTCTATATATAATAATAATAATTTAAGGAGGGACTTCCTTGGAGGAGGGTGTGCCTATAGGACCATTTTGTCGCCGTGTTTGTTTACCATCCGTCCAGTTCTCAGCGCGAAGGTGACTTCTGAGTAAACCTTTCCCTCTCTTTCCCTTCTCCATCCCCTCTCCCCCTCCCCTCAGTCCCCCCCGGGTCGCAGCAGTCCCTGCCACCCTCCCCTGCGCCCACCACGTGCCACCTCGCCCCCTCCCACACGCATCTCACCTGCTCGGGCTTTGCGGGCCGCTCAGCCTTCCGCCTGAACGGCTATGCCCACGTGGGGCCCGCCCCCTCCTTCCCCCTCGTCCTCGACACCGGCGGCACCGCTGGCAGCGCGCTCACCCTCGCTGACCTGGCACTCTCGCTGGATTCGTCCACGTCCGCAGTAACTGCAGGAGGAGACCCGGTGGCAGCAGTGGCGTTTGAGGCGGCGTTTGCGTTCTCGGTGTGGACGGAGACGTCTTATGGCTACCGGGGTAGCAGGGGTTTGACTTTTGTTGTTAGCAGCGGCGACAAGACTGCCTGCGGGTCGAGTGATATGGGGTGAGTGGATCGACATGGTAAGTCGAGGAGGCGTACAATGACTCAAAATTGTATGGCATGGGTAGGATAACTCTTTCCCTACCATCTTGCAATTTATCATATCTACCTTCTTACTTCAGTGCAACACATTCCGCACTTTCTCCTCCTCCATTCCTCCATTTTTGAGGCGCCTCAAAAGTACCTTCTTACTTCAGTGCAACACATTCCGCACTTTCTCCTCCTCCATTCCTCCATTTTTGAGGCGCCTCAAAAGTACCTTCTTACTTCAGTGCAACACATTCCCCACTTTCTCCTCCTCCATTCCTCCATTTTTTAGGCGCCTCAAAAGTACCTTCTTACTTCAGTGCAACACATTCCCCACTTTCTCCTCCTCCATTCCTCCAACCTACTCAGCACCCTCACGTGTCTCTCTCCACACCCTCCCCTCAGAGCCATAGGGTATGGGAGAGCGGCACCAGGGGCGTTCAACGGGAGTGTGGCTGTGGAGCTTTATTCGGGGTTTGAGGCACCTGAAATGGCCTGCCTGCCACACCCTTTCTTTCTCCCTATCTTCGCAACTCACCCATCCCTTCCCTTCCCTCCCCTTCCCTCCCTTCCCTCCTTTCCCTTCCCTCCCAACAGAGCCATAGGGTACGGGGGAGCGGCACCAGGGGCGTTCAACGGGAGTGTGGCGGTGGAGGTGCGGTCGGGGCCCACCTCGTGTGTGGCTGTGGTGGTGAACGGCGTGGCTTCAGGCGACAACTGCGCTGCTGCTGACCACATGACCGGCCTCACAGGAGACCAGGTCAGTTCAGTGCGGTAAATTGTGAAATAATGCGGTGAATTTTGGTTCTCTGCGGTGGACTGCGGTTCGAGGGGAATGTGGCAATGGAGCTGCATTTGGCATACAACAGCGCTTCTGAAGCTATGTTCCATCTGACGCCCTAATGTTGCAGCGTCCGGCGTCCAGACGTTACTGTCCGGACGCTGGACGCTGGGGATTTTCTTTTTGGGCAGCCCCAAACAAAAATCCCGCACAAAATTGAGGCGCGATTCAATCGCGACCAGATTCGCGATGAAATCGCCAAGTGTGGGTTACGTTTTTGAGCTACAAAAACGCAACCCACATTTATTTCCCCCCCACACATTTTCACCCATCCAAATCTACTTGTCCCAACCTGGTCGACCCCCAGCTAAACCAGAAAACCAGATCTAGGTCGACATTACACATTTCTGTTTCTGTTGTCATAGCCTAGCAACCTGAACCCTAGAATCCACCAGTCATGCTACTGAGTTATGCATGTGAGACTGACAGTATTTAACTTGTGTGTGAGATTAGGGGATTTTCAGAATTTTCAGGATATTCTGGAATATGAACAGCTTTTCCCCTGTTTAGCCTTACTACCAAGGTTTTTTTGCCCCCTGCCCGGGATTTTTTTTTGCCTGCCCGGACTAGCATCAAGTGGGCGTCCAGGGCAGAGGAACCCGGGCGTCCAGCATCTTGACGCCCCGTCCAGACGCCAGCGTAAAAAACGCTGGACGCATCAGATGGAACATTTTTGAGTCGACTCAAAAGTCTAACTCGCTGGACGCATCAAATGGAACATTTTTTAGTCGACTCAAAAGTCAACTCGCTGGACGCATCAGATGGAACGTTTTTGAGTCGACTCAAAAGTCAACTCGCTGGGCGCATCAGATGGAACATTTTTGAGTCGACTCAAAAGTCAACTCGCTGGACGCATCAGATGGAACATTTTTGAGTCGACTCAAAAGTCAACTCGCTGGACGCATCAGATGGAACATTTTTTAGTCGACTCAAAAGTCAACTCGCTGGGCGCATCAGATGGAACATTTTTGAGTCGACTCAAAAGTCAACTCGCTGGACACATCAGATGGAACATTTTTGAGTCGACTCAAAGGTCAACTCGCTGGACGCATCAGATGGAACATTTTTGAGTTGACTCAAAGGTCAACTCGCTGGACACATCAGATGGAACATATTTCTGAAGCCGCCTCACCACCCACCCCTCTTACTCCCCACCGTTTCATCTGGTGCGTGTTTTCTCTGCATGGAAAGAAGGCAGCAGCACGCGTGGGTGGCACTCCCAACTGCAGACTATTTCGTTTCCACCCACAACTCACTTTCCCAACCTTTCTTCCCGTGCATTCATGTGCTATCCTCTCAGGAGATTGCACTGAGCGAGAGGCAGCACGCGTGGGTGGCATACGACGGCACATCCCAGTCACTGGAGGTCTATCTGGGCGGCAGCGACGGCATAAAGCCCGAGGAGCCGGTGCTGCGGGCGTCGCTTGATCTTGTGGCTGTCATTGGTGCCACGTCAGCATCTGTGGGGTTCACAGCTGGCACGTGGTGGTGGGGATGTGGCGACACGGACGACCACCACCTCATCCATTCCTTCGCATTCAACACTGGTGAGCTGACAGGAATTTCTCTGTGCTAACGACTTAAAAAGTCCTTGAATTTTGAGTCTGATCCAAAGGCAACATGGACGACCATCACCTCATCCACTCCTTCTCCTTCAACGCTGGTGAGCTGGCAAATATCCTTGGATACCACCAGATAGGTAGTTGACTTTTGAGTCGACTCAAAAGTCAACGCAAATATCCTTGGATACGATAGGTAGGTAGTTGACTTTTGAGTCAACTCAAAAGTCAACGCAAATATCCTTGGATACCAGATAGGTAGTTGACTTTTGAGTCAACGCGAATATCCTTGGATACCAGATAGGTAGTTGACTTTTGAGTCAACTCAAAAGTCAACGCAAATATCCTTGGATACCAGATAGGTAGTTGACTTTTGAGTCAACTCAAAAGTCAACGCGAATATCTTGGGATACCAGATAGGTAGTTGACTTTTGAGTCAACTCAAAAGTCAACGCGAATATCTTGGGATACCAGATAGGTAGATACGCTTTCTTGGGGCTCAGATTCTGGCTTTGAACATATCGTCGTCCTTTGCCTCCCTACCCTCCCCCTTGCCCACACACCTCCCCAGTGTCCCCTGGGTTCCTGCCAGCAGCATCACCCACCTAAATCCCAGTCGAACCCTCATTTCCCTCCCCCACTCTCTTTTTACCCCGACCCATCCACCTCCCCAGTGTCCCCCGGGTTCCTGCCGGCAGCACAGCCCACACAGGCGCCCACCTGCGAAACCACCGCCTCCTCTCTGCACTGCACTGGCTTCGCCGGTTCCACCCCCTTTGACCTCAACGGCTACGCGCAGCTCGGCCCGGCGCCGCACTTCCCGCTCTGGCTCGACTCGTATGATTCTGTCGGCTCTGCGCTCTCCCTCGCGCCCCTCTCCCTCCTCACCCCCTCCGCCCGCTCCTCCGCCTTTGAAGCCGCCTTCTCCTTCACCTTCCTTGCCGATGCCTGCGCTGCTATCCCGGTACGATACTCACCCTTTCACCCTGGCACCCTTGTATTGTCTGGACTCTTCCACTCTACATGCTTGCACATCACACCCCAATCGCCTTTGAAGCCCCCTTCTCCTTCACCTTCCTCGCTGATGCCTGCGCTGCTATCCCGCCCGGTAAGATTCTCACTCTTTACCCTTGCACTCTTGCACCCTTTCGGGGTTATGCTATACCTATAGCACCCTTGCACTCTAGCACTCTGCACCCTTGCACTCTTGCACCCTTTCGGGGTTATGCTAAACTTATAGCACCCTTGCCCTCTAGCACTCTGCACCCTTGCACTCTTGCACCCTTTCGGGGTTATGCTATACCTATAGCACCCTTGCACTCTAGCACTCTGCACCCTTGCACTCTTGCACCCTTTCGGGGTTATGCTATACCTATAGCACCCTTGCACTTCGCACCTCTCTCCCTCCGCACCTCTCTCTCTTCCCCTTCACCTTCCTCGTCGATCCCTGTGCTGCAATCTCGTTGCGAGTCTCACCCTTTCACCCTTGCACTCTTGCTTTCTTACAACCTTGCCTTCTATACCTGTTTTCTCCTCTCGTTCCCCTTCACCTCTCTTTCTTCTGCTTCCCCAAACCGGCAGGTGACGGGTAGAGGATTCACCTTTGTGCTCACCAGCGGCCCAGCAACTGCTGTCGGACCACAAAACGCAAGGTGCTGTGCGGTGCTGGGTGCTGCTGGGTGGTGCTTGCCGGTGCTGACTGGTGCCAAATTGTGCAGAGGGGTGCTTGGTGGTGCTGGCTGGTGCTGGCTGGTGCTGCGTGGTGAAGGCCCCAGTTGGGGTGGACGGTACAGAGTAGAGTCAGGTTCTGACTGTGACCCATGCCTTGACTTTTGAGCCGACTCAAAAGTCAACATGCCTTGCGTAGCTGTCTCACTCACCCTTTCCCTCATTTGTTGTCACGCTTCTCTCTCTCCCTCTGCAGTTCCCTGGGCTATGGTTCGGGAAAAGGGGCGTTCCTCAAGAGTGTGGCAGTGGAGATTTACCTGTGCCCCGCCCCTAATTAAGCCGTCTCAGTGTCGCATTTTGGACTAGCTTTCATCCGTCTCACTCTCTCTCTCTCCCCGTCGCAATTCCCTGGGCTACGGGTCGGCAGGAGGGGCGCTCCTCAAGAGTGTGACCATAAACTTCCGCCTGTGCCCCAATAGCACAGAAATGTCCATCCCCTATCCCTCACTTCCTTCCACCCTTTTTCTCTCCCCTTGCAGGTCCCTGGGAACGGGTCGGCAGGAGGGGTGTTCCTCAAGACTGTGGCAGTGTTTTCGCCTGTGCCCCATACCCCCTGCCCTGTCCCTTGTAAAGCCGTCTCAATTTCCTTTTCCTCCCGTTGCCCGCTTCTTTTCTCCCCTCTCAGTTCCCTGGGCTATGGGTCAGCAGGAGGCGCGTTCCTCAAGAGTGTGGCAGTGGAGTTCCGCCTGTGCCCCGTACCCTGTATAGCCGTCTCCTCTAAGGGAGTCGTGGCGGGAGACGGTTGTGCTGGAGCTGAGTTCTACACTGTTCTGCCCCCAGAGAAGGTGCGTGCGCTCGCCTTGCTTCTTTTAAGTGTGTTCCAAAGACCCTCTTTTTTTCATTTATTTTTTTCCCTAAGTTTCCTTGGGAGTCGGCTGCTCCTTGCTTTTGGTATCTGAAGCCATAATTCTTGGACATTTACTGCCTGCCCGTAAACGGAGGGGGAGTGTGGCCCTTTTGAGACTTCTCAAAAGCTCACCACCGCATCTCCCCTCCCTCCCTCTTTAATTTCCCGCCAGCCTTTTTCTCTCAACGCCTAGCAGCACGCCTTATCTGCTATATTTGTGTTACTTTTGAGAATTCTCAAAAGTAGCACACTTATCTGCTTCCTTGCATGGGTTTGTGCCATAATTCCTCTCCACCCCACTCCACTCCACTCCACTCCCCCAGACCCCTTCAACCCCCCCAGGCCTTCCATCTCAACACTCAACAGTACGCCTGGGCGAGATGCGATGAGGGCTCTCAGACCCTCAACGTGTTTTTGGAGGAACGTCCAGGTGAACTGGAGACTAACCTCTCTCTCATCTCACGTGTCTCTCCCTCTCCTCTTCCCTCCCTCCCTCCCTCCCTCCCTCCCTCCCTCCCTCCCTCCCTCCCTCCCTCCCTCCCTCCCTCCCTCTCTCCCCACCTCCCTACTTCCCTACCTTCCCACCAGGCCTTCCCACTCAACACCCAGCAGTACGCCTGGGTGAGCTACGAGGGGGCCTCTCAGACCCTCAACGTGTTCCTGGGGGGATCGTCCAAGGTCAAGCCAGGTGTACCAATGCTCACTGCCCACGTGGACATTGAAACCATCCTCGGCGCCACGTCAGCGTCCGTGGGGTTCACAGGTGGCACGTGGTGGGGGCAGGACATGGCGAGTGAACGACACATCATCCACCAGCTCAGCTTCGTGGGAGGTGAGAGGGATAGGGAGTGTGTGAATAGAGAATTTGAATGTGTGCATAGGGAATTTGAGTGTGTGGCAATGAAGGGGTATCGGCAGGCAAGTGCCCTTCTCTCACTTCATCGTTGTGGCGAGCGAGCGACACATCAGCCACCAGCTCAGCTTCGTGGGAAGTGAGAGGGATAGGGAGTGTGTGATGTGAATAGAGATTTTGAATGTCTGGCAATATAGGGTATCGGCAGGCAAGTCCCCTTCTCTCACTTCAATGTTGTGGGCAGCGAGCGAGCTTATCATCCACCAGCATCATGGGAGGTGAGTCAAGGATGGAGGGAAGAAGGGCGGGAGACGTGGGGTGTGTAACTATGATATGCGATGCGCATTAAGGAATTTTGCTTCACTCTTTGGATACAACACAGGCAGTTTGAACTCTCTAGCTAGCCTCTCTTTCTAACGCCCTCCCCCCTTTCTACACACCTCCTCTCAGGAACTTTCCTGGAAACGACCAACGTAACGGCAGAGCTGACGAGCGCCTTTGCATACTCCAACGAAACGGATCTTTCCCTCTTCACCACCACCACACCCTTCACCACCACTCCCACCACCACCACCACCGACACCACCACCGCCACCACAACCACCGCCACCTCTTTCTCATCTACCGATGCTCTTGCCACCACCGGAACAGCCGGGGGGGCGGCGGTGCTGTCAGAGTTGTCTCCCGATGCCACGCGCGGCACAGTGGAGTTCCGCTTCACCGCCACCACCGCCTCGGGGCCGCAGTCCTTTGTGGGGCGCCGCCGCATCGTTGCTTCCCGCCCCGTGGTGAGTGGATTTTTAGTCAACGCAATACTTCTCCGCCACCACTGCCTCGAAGCCCCATTCCTTCGTGGGGCGCCGCTGCATCGTTGCTTTCCGACCTGTGGTGAGTTAAGTCGGGCGTGCTAGCACCCAGTTATGTGTGCATTAGGAGTGCTGAGCAGCCAACCCTCTTTCTCATCTCACGATGCTCTTGCCACCACTAGAGCCACTAGAGCCACTAGAGCCACTAGAGCCACCGGAGCCACCGGAGCCACCGCAGCCACTGGAGCCACCGGAGCCACCGGAGCCACTGGAACCACTGGAGCCACTGGAGCCACCGAGGGGGCAGCGGTGGTATCGGAGCGGCTGTCCGCCCGCCTTGTTCCCTTTCATGGGTGCACACGCAGGTGTATGTGCCTTTCATGAAGGATCATCCCATGGGTGTTTGATTATCAGCTCACAACAACAACTGCCTTACTTTCCTCTGACCCCCCTTCCCTCTTCCCCTGCCTCCATACCTCCCCCCGCTTCCCTCCCCTCTTTGCAGGTGCAGGCACACGTGTACGGGTCCAACATGGAGGATCCCCCCAAGGGTGTTGGATTAGCCAGTAACTGCCCTTATCTCCCTTAACCCCGTCTCCCTCTCCCCCTCCCCTTCAATGGTGCAGGTGCGAGCACACGTGTACGTGTCCAACATGGAGGATCGACCCATGGCTGATGTGGCAGTGACAGCACGCATCACCTACCCCAACGGCACCGACGCCTCGCACTGCTTCGTCTTCAGCGACCCGCTGCTGCAGGGGATTGACGACGTCAGCGGTGCAGGTGAGAGTGGTGCCACAAGTGGGTTGATAGCAATCACGGGGATGCGCAATATGCTCGACGCACTCTTTTGCCTGTAGTGACCAACTTCTGCAAGAGATTAATAATGTCAGCGTTGCACGTGAGATTACCACGTCTGCCGGTGCTGATTGTCCTCTTCTTCTCACAATACGAGTTTCTCTCTTTCATTTCGCCACCAGCAACCAAACTGCCCTCACGTCCATATTTCCTCCGCAACCCCAACCGGTACCTGTTTGTCAGTCGTTGGAGTCGCCGTCCTTCTTCGCATTAGGTCCTGCACCACACGAGTCACGTCATTTGTCATGTCAGCTCTCTTGCATGTCGCAACCGCAGCTGCAGCCGCTGTCGTCTCCACCCCATAATTGGCGTCGACAAAAATCCTCCTCCAAGACTTTTGTCCGCACCGCACCCCACTCGAGCGTCCACAAGCTCTGGTCACGTGGCTGGATCAATCAGCTGGTGAATTAAAGCCACGACTTCGGCAGGAGCGAGGCCAACTTCAGGCACTTGGTCACTAAAATTTTGTCATTCTCTTTGTTTTTCTTTCCCTCATTTCTCCCCTTTTTCCTTCTCCCCAGGCACCCTCCCTCCTGCCACATCAGCGGGCGTTGATTGGCTGCTCCTCGCTCTGGACTGCGCCGCGCCTGCCACTCCCACCAACTTCAAGTTCGCCAGCACCCTGCACTACACCCTGCCTGCATCATCATCCACGTCATCATCCACTGCGACTGCCACGTCAGCACCAGCATCCGAACCAGCGCCAGTGGTTAAGAAGGTGGAGCTGACGAGTGTGCGAGTGACGGTGGTCCCTTCACCCAAGCTGCAAGTGCACTACTTTGTGCCCCGCCACGTGCAAGGAGACGACCTCACCACTCCTCAGGTGAGCATGGGGGAGTGGGCGTGGGGGATCGGCAAGTGGGGCAAATTGCGTGACTGTTTCTGGCGTCAAGGATATCAACGGTGACTTGTGCCTCTCTTTCGCATACTCACTCTCTCTCTCTTCCGCATGAAAAGGTGGAGGCAGCAGTGCCAGCTACGCTCGCGGCACTCTTCCACAACTCCTCGCTCCTCGCTCTTTCACTCCCTCTATCCCTCCTCCCTTTCTCCCTCCATCTCAACACCCCACAGGTTGGGTATCAGTGCCAGTCACGCTCTAACCCTCCTCTCTTTTTCCCTCCTCTCTCTCCCTAAAAAGGTGGAGGCACCAGGTCCAGTCACGCTAGCAGCACTCTCAATCCAATCACTGCCCTTTCACTCCCTCAATCCCTCCTCCCTTTCTTTCTTCTCTCCCCAACGCCCCACAGGTGGAGGCACCAGTGCCAGTGACGCTAGCAGCACTCTTCCACAACTCGGGTCACGGCACAGCTGCTGCTGTCGCCACACAGTCACTGCTGCCCACCGCTGCCACCACCACCACCACCACCACCACCACCACTGCCGGCGCACCCGCCGCTGCTGACGTAGGCGCTACTACTACAACGGGTGACACGAGCAGCGCGGCAATGAGTTTCAGCATCACCAGCACAGTGCTGGGCAATGAGCCGCAGCCGGCATCGTTCTCTGTGAAGGTGTGTGCGCATTCAGATGTGAAACAAAGGCGCGCATGCACATGCATCCATGAGTGAGTTTGAGCAAGACTGTTCTGGGAGAGGAGCCACAACCGGCATCCTTCTCCATGAAGGTGTGTGGCCATGCTGATGTGGACATGCTGATGTGGACATGCTGATGTGGACATGCTTATGTGGACATTCTTATGTGGACATGCTTATGTGGACACACGCATGCATGCATACATACACACACACACATACACACACACACACACACACGCATGTGCACACACACACACACACACACACACACACACATGCTTCACTTGCTTATTCCTACCATGACCCGTCCCTTCTTCTCAGCCCATCCCCCCTCTCTCTCTACGGTGGGAAGCATCCCTCCATCTGCTACAGCCATGGTGCGCTGGACCATAGAGGCCAGCCTCCATCTTCTCTTTCTCACCCACCCTCCTTTCCTCCATCTCTCCCCCCACCCCCTCCTCCCCTCTCCTCTTCTCCCCCAGGTGGGCAGCATCCCTCCATCTGCTACAGCCATGGTGCGCTGGACCATAGAGGCCAGCCTCACAGGCACATTCGATACAGTCACCACCACCAACACCACCACCACCACCACCACCTCCTCCTCCCCACTCACCGGCCTCTCCCCCATTCTCGAGTCGGTTGACATTCACAACCTCGTGCACGTCGTCTATCTGCCCGACGCTGCTTCAGGTAAGGCCCCCGCTCACAAGTGACGCTGGTTTACCGATTTCCGGTGGGGGAAAAAAGAACAAAGGAAACAGGAAAAATATGTTTGTTGTGACGCCTAAAAAAAACCATCCGTCCTGGTATCACCCGGCATCGGTGACGTTGGCCAACAGAATTTCGTGCTGTAGCGACAACAGGGATGAGCAGGGCTCGAATCGTTGCCATGTCCCCATCCCATCCCATCCCATCCCATCTAATCCCATTCTATCATATCTTTTCACTGCTTAAAGGACACATCCAGAATTACCGTGTCGGCCCCAAAACTGTCACCACTTTCGTGTGATTGGTCGAAGGTTTTGAGTGGGTTTTTGACGCGATTGGTTCTCGATTTCCCCACCGAACCTGTCTCTGGGGTTTCCCGAACCTACATTTTTTTCGTTGACTTCGTTGTGTAATTCGGGGTGTGGCCTTTAATCCATCTGTCACCCAACCCATCCTCTCAATGTCTGACCTGTCCATTCAGACGACGGGCTGCCGGATTTCCTGGTGGACGACAACGGGGACGAGCAGCCGGAGGCCATCTACAGCAGCGCTGGTAACCGCGTGCTGCCCGTATCCGCCGTGCCTTCCGCTGCTCTCGCGCCTGGCCGCCTGCTCTTCACCAGCGAAACCCGCGCCAAGCTCACTGTCGCTGTGGACTGGTGAGTGAAGAAGTGGAGTGATGCATGGGTGCCAGTTCTGAACAATGAGTGCTTGTCCCGCAAGTTGCTGGGCTCACAAAAAAAAAAAAAAAAAAAAAAAAAAAAAAAAAAAAAAAAAAAATCAGGGTGCCAATTATCATATGGATACATCCCCTTTTTCCCCTTTTGTCAAGAACTCATGGTGTTGATCTCCCAACTTCAGCAACCTTTCCTCTCCAATCTCCCTGCCATGTAACTTGCCATGCTTGCAGGTCTGCCTTCCCACCAGCGGCAGCAGGAGGGTGGGCGCACATGTCATTTGCCTCGCAGCTGCCATCGCACTGCTGGAATCTCACCGCTGCTCTCCGATCCAATGGCTCTCAGCTGCCCGTGCCCTTCAACGCCTGGTCCTCCTTCTCCTCCTCCCCCGGTGCTCCCACTGGCACCGCTGCTGCCCCTGCCCCTGCCACTTCAACTTCCACCGCCCCTGCTTCTTCCCCCCCTGCTTCACTTTCTTCTGACACCACTCACATTCTCGACTTTGTCTCCTCCCCCTCCTACACTCTCTTCTTCTCTTACTTTGATCAGACCCTCTCCTTCCCCCACCTCCCCCCCTGCTTCCAGGCAGTCATGCCTCCCCCTCCCTCCCCCCCCAACCCTCCCCCTTCCCCTCCCCCTCGCCCACCCCCCCGCCCCCCTCCAAGCCCCCCTCGGCCACCTCCAAACCCCTCTCCTCCCCCCCGTCCCCCTCCAAATCCTTCTCCCCCTCCCCGCCCCCCTCCAAGCCCCCCCAAACCCCCTTCTCCTCCCCCTCGCCCTCCCCCCAATCCCCCGAAACCTCCTCCCCCCCCTTCTCCTCCCCCTCGCCCTCCCCCGAACCCCCCACCAAAGCCCCCCTCACCACCACCCCCCAAACCCCCGTCTCCCCCACCTCGCCCCCCGCCCAACCCTCCCCCGAACCCACCCCCTCCGAAGCCCCCATCCCCTCCCCCTCGCCCTCCCCCACGCCCGCCCCCGAGTCCCCCACGCCCGCCCCCACCCCCCAGGCCTCCTTCCCCCCCGCCTCGCCCTCCCCCACGCCCGCCCCCAAGTCCCCCACGCCCGCCCCCACCCCCCAGGCCTCCTTCCCCCCCGCCTCGCCCTCCCCCCCGCCCTCCCCCAAGCCCGCCCAAGGTTGTCTAGGACGCTCCGCTTACATCGCCACGTCCATTGGCAAAGGCATCTGGGCTATGGCGTTTGCTGAGAGTCACAAATTCAGATGTGTGACTCACCTCACGTTGAAGCGGCTTTTGAGTCGGGCAACACTATGGATGGATGAGGGGCCTTGGTGTTGGCTCTTACCCTTTTGCTCTGTCACCCTGAACTGGACTCCTGAGTTGTGGCATGCCATGTGACCTTGCCTGCTTGCTTGCTTTAGATACCCATTAGGGGTTGCCATGCCATGATCCACAATCATGCAATGCTGTCTTTCTTTTGAACCTTGATACATGGAAAGGTGGTGGAAAAAGTCCAACCCCCCCCAAAAGCCACCCCTTCCCCTCAAAAGCTCAAATGGTGAACTGTATGAAAACAGGTGTACATGATGAGAGCAGATTTGGTAATGAATAGGAAAGAGGCAACACAGTACAGTAGAGGCGGTGCGGTGGGAAAACCCCTCCATGCCCCCCCCCAAAGTCCCCCTAAGGCCCCCCTACCCCCCAAATCCCCTCACACCCCCTCACAGCCCCCCTCACAGAACAGAACCCCCTGACATTGCCCCACACCCTCACCACACCACGCACATCCCTGGGATGGGAACGCCAGGCCTGACCAACCGTTCCTCTGGCTTCTGTTTCACCCACTCCCTATTTGCAAACTTTGCCCTCTTTATCTGTAGGAAAAAGGAGTTTTGGAAAGTCGCTGCGTTGCTCGTTGCCTGTGTGTGCCTGTGCGTGTCACCTGCTCTTCCGCCCCTGTCCCTGTTTCTCTTGCTCTTCCGCCCCTATCTCTCTCCTCCTGTTTCTTCCTCTTTCTTCTGTTTCTCTTCCTGCTTCTGTTTCTGCCTGGCCTGACCTCCCTGGTCTGGGCCTTACCTCCCCGGGTCGCCCCGGACCTCTCCGAACCGAATGAACCAGGCCCCGACCCGACAGGCTTGCATGGGCCGGAGATCAAACCGACATGCTTCCCTTCCCCCCCGGGCCTAGCCCAAACCTCCCGACACCCCTTATGTCAACACACGCACACAAGTACAAACGCTCTCCTATTTTTATGTTCCTACACTAATTAATACCCTACGCATGTGCTTACTTGCAATGTCTTGGCGGCAAGAGAGTGTCTCTTCACAGCGCCCCGCAGGAGAGAAGAGAACGCCACCTGTGCAAGGATGGGTGGGGTGGGGTGGGACAGCAGGATGGCAGGTGTGACGGGATGGCACATGGTTTAGCAATTGTGGCAGAGGTGAGTGCAGGGGAGCAGTGGGGGAAGGGTGAATACAAGGGATAAGTGGGGGATGGTGAGTGTGGGAAGCGGAGGGTGAACAGTGGGGAATGGGGAAACCGTAGCGTGAACAGTGGGGGATGAGGAGCAAGGGCGGAATGAGGAGCAACAGCGGAACGAGGAGCAAGGGCGGAACGAGGAGCAAGGGCGGAACGAGGAGCAAGGGTGGAACGAAGAGCAAGGGCGGATTGAGGCAGAAGCACGGATAGAGGGCGGGCGGAATGAGCAAGGGCGGAATGAGCAAGGGCGGAATTAGGAAGGGCGGAACTAGGAGGAAGGGCGGAGGGTGAACAGTGGGGGATGGTGAGTGTGGGAAGCGAAGGGTGAACAGTGGGGAATGGGGAGACAGTAGCATGAACAGTGGGGGATGAGGAGCAAGGGCGGAATGAGGAGCAAGGGCGGATGGAGGAGCAAGGGCGGAACGAGGAGCAAGGGCGGAACGAGGAGCAAGGGCGGAACGAGGAGCAAGGGCGGAACAAGGAGCAAGGGCGGAACGAGGAGCAAGGGCGGAACGAGGAGCAAGGGCGGAATGAGGAGCAAGGGCGGATTGAGCAAGGGCGGAATTAGGAGAAAGGGCGGAGGGTGAACAGTGGGGGATGGTGAGTGTGGGAAGCGGAGGGTGAATAGTGGGGAGTGGGGATACAGTAGCGTGAACAGTGGGGGATGAGGAGCAAGGGTGGAATGAGGAGCAAGGGCGGATTGAGGAGCAAGGGCGGAACGAGGAGCAAGGGCGGAACGAGGAGCAAGGGCGGAACGAGGAGCAAGGGCGGAACGAGGAGCAAGGGCGGAACGAGGAGCAAGGGCGGAACGAGGAGCAAGGGCAGAGCGAGGAGCAAGGGCGGAACAAGGAGCAAGGGCAGAACGAGGAGGAAGGGCGGAACGAGGAGCAATGAATGGTTGTCAGTTTTAATTAGTGAGTGTTTGTCCTGCAAATTGCTGGGCTCACTGTACAGAACGGACGCCGACCATCATTAGGAAGTTCATAAGTGCCTTTGTCAAGAACTCATCGTGGTGTTAATTTTCCTGAACCAACAACTCATCCTCTTCCATCCCCACCTGCCATGTGCATGGCCATAATTGCAGGTCTGCCCTCGCAGTACCGGCGGCAGCAGGGAGGTGGGCACACATGTCATTTGCATCGCAGCTGCCATCGCACTGCTGGAATCTCACCGCTGCTTTCCGATCCAACGGCTCTCAGCTGCCCGTGCCCTTCAACACCTGGTCCTCCTTCTCCTCCTCCCCCTCCACTCCCACTGGCACCGCTGCTGCCCCTGCCCCTGCCACTTCAACCACCACTGCCCCTGCTTCTCCTACTACTGACACCACTCACATTCTCGACTTTGTCTCCTCCCTCTCCTACACTCTCTTCTTCTCTTACTTTGATCAGACCCTCTCCTTCCCCCACCTCTCCCCCTGCTTCCAGGCAGTCATGCCTCCCCCTCCCTCCCCCCCCAATCCTCCCCCTTCCCCTCCCCCTCGCCCGCCCCCCCACCCCCCTCCAAGCCCCCCAAGGCCTCCCCCGAACCCATCTCCTCCCCCGCGCCCCCCCCCCAATCCTTCTCCCCCTCCCCGCCCCCCTCCAAGCCCCCCGAAACCCCCTTCTCCTCCCCCTCGCCCTCCCCCGAACCCCCCGCCAAAACAACCCTCACCACCGCCCCCAAGCCCCCGTCTCCCCCACCCCGTCCCCCACCAAACCCTCCCCCAAACCCACCTCCCCCCAAGCCCCCATCCCCTCCCCCTCGCCCTCCCCCACGCCCACCCCCAAGTCCCCCGCTCCCGCCCCCACCTCCCAGGCCTCCTTCCCTACCTCCTCGCCCTCCCCCCCGTCCTCCCCCAAGCCCTCCCAAGGTTGTCTAGGAGGATCCGCTTACATAGCCACGCCCATTGGCAAAGGCATCCGGCTATGGCGTTTGCTGAGAGTCACAAATTCAGATGTGTGACTCACCTTACGTTGAAGCGGCTTTTGAGTCGGGCAACACTATGGATGGATGAGGGGCCTTGGTGTTGGCTCTTACCCTTTTGCTCTGTCACCCTGACTTGGACTCCTGAGTTGTTGTGTGCCTGTGTTTGTTCCTTCTGCTGGCATGTCATGCCACCTTACTTGCTGGCTTGCTTTGGATACCGAACAGGAGCATACACAAGCATGCATTGCTTGCTTTTTTTTTAACCTCTTGCTGTGCTTAATCAGTATGACTTTGAATCCATTCCTGTGTGTGCACCTGGATTCTGGATGCTACGGTATAATGTGGCATCTTGCTTGTTTGCGTGATGATGAACCAATCATAACAAAGAGGATCGACATGTAACAAAGTATGTCAACCTCCCTTGTTCTGCATCAAACAAACAGATAGCTTTGAGCGTTTTTTACAAGCCCAATTTGCTAGCTGCTATGTTGACGAATCCGTGCGAAATGCAGTGCCCGTATGTAAACTGTACTGCACATCAGGTGTACTGTGCGGTTTGGGACCTTTTGGTCTCCTTTCGGATGGTTCTCAGACCCAGACGCAAGTTGGGGTATTTTCTGACCTTATTTGCGTTGACTTTTGAGTCGACTCAAAAGTCAACTACCTATCTGGTGGTATCCAAGGATATTTGCCAGCTCACCAGCGTTGAAGGAGAAGGAGTGGATGAGGTGATGGTCGTCCATGTTGCCTTTGGATCAGACTCAAAATTCAAGGACTTTTTAAGTCGTTAGCACAGAGAAATTCCTGTCAGCTCACCAGTGTTGAATGCGAAGGAATGGATGAGGTGGTGGTCGTCCGTGTCGCCACATCCCCACCACCACGTGCCAGCTGTGAACCCCACAGATGCTGACGTGGCACCAATGACAGCCACAAGATCAAGCGACGCCCGCAGCACCGGCTCCTCGGGCTTTATGCCGTCGCTGCCGCCCAGATAGACCTCCAGTGACTGGGATGTGCCGTCATATGCCACCCACGCGTGCTGCCTCTCGCTCAGTGCAATCTCCTGAGAGGATAGCACATGAATGCACGGGAAGAAAGGTTGGGAAAGTGAGTTGTGGGTGGAAACGAAATAGTCTGCAGTTGGGAGTGCCACCCACGCGTGCTGCTGCCTTCTTTCCATGCAGAGAAAACACGCACCAGATGAAACGGTGGGGAGTAAGAGGGGTGGGTGGTGAGGCGGCTTCAGAAATATGTTCCATCTGATGCGTCCAGCGAGTTGACCTTTGAGTCAACTCAAAAATGTTCCATCTGATGCGTCCAGCGAGTTGACCTTTGAGTCGACTCAAAAATGTTCCATCTGATGCGTCCAGCGAGTTGACTTTTGAGTCGACTCAAAAATGTTCCATCTGATGCGCCCAGCGAGTTGACTTTTGAGTCGACTAAAAAATGTTCCATCTGATGCGTCCAGCGAGTTGACTTTTGAGTCGACTCATACATTGGTGCTGTTCGCCAGTAAATCGTAATTTGAAATGAAAAAGATGGCATCGGCATCGCGACCGCATTGGAAACGGAGGCGGAACCCACCTCCAAGGTTTGGGCGTGATGCCACTCGAGAAACTTCTGCGCCCGAAAGGCGAAATTACGCAACCGCATAAAGAACCTCCATCCCCACCTTCCCCCCATTGGCGCGAACTTTTAGCTTCACTGACCATAGCCTGCCGGCGGGCCAAAAAGTGCTCAACGTGGGTAAAAAATGCAAATAATGTCAGAACATATATATAGCTTATGCTGTTGTGTAGGCTATAGTGGGGTATCCCATAGGGGGTACAACCCAATTAGGGTTTCCTATATGTACTCACTTCATTCATAGTTCATTCATTCTTGTTCAAATCTTCTCATGGTATCGAGCAGGTTCCCCCTTGGGAACTGTGCTTAGGGCCCACCACATCGATTTTTTTTCCTGCCCGAAGCGCGCTCAGCCCGAGTCGCGCTCCGGGCCCTCACTTCGTCGAGCCGCCCTAGCGGCCCTTCACTGCGGCCCCGCCACTCGTCTCAGCGGCCCCGCCGCCCGTCTTCGCGGCCCCGCCGCCTCTCTCCTAGCGGCCCCGCCGCCCTACCTAGCGGCCCCGCCGCCCTACCTCGCGGCCTCGCCGCCCTATTGCGCGGCCCCGCCGCCCTACCTAGCGGCCCCGCCGCCCTTACTCGCGGCCTCGCCGCCCCATTGCGCGGCCCCGCCGCCCTACCTCGCGGCCTCGCCGCCCCATCGCGAGGCCCCGCCGCCCTACCTAGCGGCCCCGCCGCCCTTCCTCGCGGCCCCGCCGCCCCATCGCGCGGCCCCGCCGCCCTATCTAGCGGCCCCGCCGCCCTTCCTCGCGGCCCCGCCGCCCCATCGCGCGGCCCCGCCGCCCTTCCTCGCGGCCCCGCCGCCCCATCAGCGGCCCCGCCGCCCTATCAAGCGGCCCCGCCGCCCTTCTCTGCAGCGGCCCCGCCACTCCTCTACAGCGGCCGAGCCGCCCAGCAGCAGCGCAGCCGAGCCGCCCAGCAGCAGAGCAGCCGAGCCGCCCAGCCGTCGAGCCGCCCTGCAGCCGAGCCGCCCGGGAGCCGAGCCGCCCTGCCGCCGAGCCGCCCTGCCGCCGAGCCGCCCTGCCGCCGAGCCGCCCGGGAGCCGAGCCGCCCAGCAGCCGAGCCGCCGAGCCGCCCAGCTGCCGGGCCGCCCTACTGCCGAGCCGCCCGACCTGCCCTGCCTGGTGAGCACAGCACCACTGTTACTGCGTGCCCTTCCCCTACTGCTTGCACTACTACACTGTCGTCGTCATGGCTACCCCTAGTGTCCTCGCTTTTGACGCTGAGGGTCGAGCCATTGACTTTGAGGTCTGGGTCGACGACCTGCAGCTGTTCTTACAGTGCGATAGGGCGGACGGTCTTTCCCTCTTTGACCTCACCTCTGGCGCCTCTCCTGCCCCTGCTGCTGATGCTGACCCCACTGTTCGCTCTCAGTGGGCCACCCGCGATGCTGCTGCACGTCTTGCTGTGCGTCGCCACCTGCCTACCACTGAGCGCGCGCACTTTAGTCAGTACAAGAGTGCTCAGACCTTGTACGACGCTGTAGTTGCGCGCTACTCTTCCCCTGCCACTGCTGCCCTGAGCCGACTCATGCTACCGTACCTCTTTCCTGACCTTGCTGCCTTTCCCACTGTCGCTGACCTCATTACGCACCTCCGCACTAGTGACACTCGCTACCGCGCCGCCCTTCCTGCTGAGTTCTGCGCCAAGAACCCCCCCCCCATGTACATCACTCTCTATTACATAGTCACACGCCTCCCTGACTCCCTTCGCGTAGTCAGGGACCACTTCCTCTCAGTCTGTCCCACCACTCTCACTGTCGACCTCCTCGAGAAGTCCCTCCTTGCGGCGGAGAAGAGCATCGTCGCTGTAGGAGCCTCTCGTGGTGACCCTCGCACCCCCATCTTTGAGGGGTGTTCTCCTTCCCCCCTGCTGCCCTCTGTTGCCTCTGCTGCTGCTGCCGACCTGCTTGGTCTTGAGTCGGTCTGCGCGGCGTCTGCCCCTAGCGGGAGACGCCGCCCTGGCAGGGGCAAGGGGGGCAAGGGCGCGGGTGGAACTGGCGGGGGCGGTGGAGGTGGCGGTGGAGGCGGCGGAGGGAGTGGGGGTGGCGGTGGGAGTGGTGGCGGGGGCGGTGGTGGCGGTGGCAGCAGCGGAGGAGGAGGCGGTGGTGGCGGCAGCGGTGGGAGCGGAGGCAGCGGTGGTGGTGGAGGTGGAGGCGGCGGTGGCGGAGGGGGTGGAGCTGGTCGGGGTGGTGCCCCGCAGCGTAGCGGCTCTGGTGGTGGCCAGCGTCAGCAGCAGCAGCAGCAGCAGCGTTCGCGGGACATCCCCCCGCCCCAGCAGCTCCGTGAGTGGTACACGCAGCGTCAGCGGGGTGGGGGTTTTGGTCCGTGCACCTACGTCCTTCGTTCCGGCGACCGCGCGGGTGAGCAGTGTGGGGGTGCCCACCCCACCCAGCGCTGCTTTGGCCGCCTGACGGACGCTTGGCGTCAGCAGTTCCCCGAGGCCAGTGAGATTCCCCGTTGGGGAGAGCTGTCTAGGGCTGGCGTAGCTATCTTTGATCTTGACTTTGATGCTATCCTTGCTGCCATGTATGCTGTGACTATTAGTGAGGAGGGTGACTGTTACCGGTGTTTCCCGCCCGACCCGGGCATTGGTACTGCTGCGCCAGGTACTTCTGCGGCTGCTGCTCTAGGTGCCAGTGCGTCTGCACTCTCAGGTACTGGTGAGGCTGCGCTCTCAGGTACTGCGTCGGCTTCGGCCTCCCTCACCTTCACGCTTGACTCAGGGGCTTCTCGCTCCTTCTTTCGAGACCGCACCACACTCACGCCGCTTGGCCGGCCGGTTGCAGTCTCCCTGGCTGACCCCTCTGGGGGTCCTGTCCTCTCTCACTTCTCCACTGTCCTCCCGTGTCCGGCTGCCCCCTCGGGCACCTTGTCTGGTCTGTACCTCCCCTCGTTCTCGACGAACTTGGTGAGTGGTGCTGACCTGCAGGATGCGGGGGTTCACCAGTTTACTCCTGCGAGTCAGCGGGTGACCCACTGCTCGGACGCCCGCACAAGCCGACACCTGGCCACGTTTTCGCGTCGGCCGGGGTCGAGTCTCTACACCCTGACCACTGAGTCTCCTCCTGTCCCTGCGTCTGGCCAGGTAGCTGCGTCGGGTCAGGTGTTTGCTGCTGCGTCCAGGTCTGGTCCTGAGTCTGCCCCCTGCTCGTGTCGCCGCCTGTCTCAGGAGACTCTCCTGTGGCACCACCGTCTTGGCCACCCCTCCTTGCCTCGTCTTCGGGGCATGGCTTCCCGTGTCCTTGTCTCTGGTCTTCCCCGGTCTCTCCCTCCCCTTCCTTCGGGACCCGGACCTTCCTGTGTCCCCTGTGTCGAGGGGCGGCTCCGG